GGGGAGGTAGGGGGGGAGTGGTTCGAGCGAGGTAACCTTTTAGTCCCTTTGGTGTTGGAACTGCGAGAGCAGCAGAGATTCGGAGAGCGAAAAGCTGAAGAGGAGGCGGAGGAAGAGGAGGAGGAGGAGGAGGAGGAAGAGCAGAGGGAGGGAGAGAGAGAGGGAGAAAGGTACATGTTAAGGAGGAGGAAGGTGCGTGGTCGAATTTGGCCTCGTTCAGCAGAACACCGCCCGCAATGGAGTTACGGTTCAACCTTTGATAAGCTGCCCAGAGCCGTCATCGCCGTTGATAGATCTGATGATCAGACAAGGGAGGGGGGGCAGGGGGTGAAAAGGAGGGGGAGATCATCATGAGCATGGTGTTCGGTTTTGGCGCCCAACCAATCCAAGGTTTGTGTTGAGAGGGGGGTCGGGGTCGCATACAGCGCGCCGGCATCGAATTGGATAAGGGGATTTCAAAAGGTTGCAAAGCGAGAAGGTTCCTCGAACATTCGGAGGCGAGTGGGACGGGGGGGAAGAAGCAAGGACGATAAGAAGAGACTGATCACGTGAGCAAAGAAGGTTCTGGGAATATTCGAAAGCAAAGGTTGACGGCGGGAGAGGGGCGGCTGTCTTCTCTTCCCAACGCTGAGGCACGCAGAGAGAGCGAGTGAAAGAAGGGCGTGAGAGAGAGAGAGAGAGAGAGAGAGAGAGAGAGAGAGAGAGAGAGAGAGAGAGAGAGAGAGGGTGGCAGTGGCGAGCATCGTTGAGCATTTTTGCACACGTGCATGCTCACCGGTGAGAGAGAGAGAGAGAGAGAGAGAGAGAGAGAGAGAGAGAGAGAGAGAGAGAGAGAGAGAGAGAGAGAGGAGGAGCAAGACCGAACGGATGATTCGAGAGAGGGCAGGTGGCATAGTGACGGAGGAGACGATGGAGTTTGAAGTTCCAGCGCATGGAGAGTTGTTGATTGGTGATTGGAAAATCTGATGTGGGGGGCAAGAAGAAACAGAAGGAGAAGAGGGAGAAGAAAGCAGAGGAGGGGAAGAGGGGGCGTGAGAGTACAATGGATAGAGAAGTGAATTGGAGGAGAGAGAGAGTGGAGGGACGGGTGATGAAAGGAAGTAAAAACGGGAGCCCAGGAAGAGTCAGCGGCGGGAGCAGTTTTTGAAAAGAAGAGGAAGGCGAGCGGCAGAAAGAGCGGCAGAAAGAGCGAATACGACGAACAAAGAGCGAGTTGATAAAGCAAACAGCAGCAGTTGGGGAGGGAGGGAGGGAGGGAGGGAGGGAGGGAGCAGAGAGTGGGAGAAGAAAGAAGGCTGCTGGCGGTGGTGGTTAGTGCTGCTGTCTGTTCTCTTACGTGGTTAAGGAGGGAAGCAGGGGGAAAGGAGAGGGGGGTTGGAAGGGGAGGAAAAAAAAAAAAAAAAAAAAAGGCGGGGTAATTTTGCTGGAAAACGACGACGACGACAATGGGTTGCCTTTTCTCGTTGTGTTTCCCCCAAAAAACCCACGAAAAATTAGACCCTACTGGAAAGCCAGCAGAGGAGAAGCTCGATAAGAAGAAGAAATCCTCATCTCCGGGCAATAAAGGATCGTCGAAAGAAGATGGGCTTGCTCTTGGACTTCGGACTAATTTTGGATACGAGCGGGATTTCAAAGACAAGTACACGCTGGGCAAGAAACTTGGCCACGGACAGTTTGGGGTGACCTATCAGGCCACCAAGAAGGTGACAAATGAAAAAGTAGCTGTCAAGACCATTCAAAAAGACCGCATGCTTCAGCGAATAGCCGTGGAGGATGTTGTCCGGGAAGTGAAGATTCTTCAAGCACTCTCCGGCCACGAGAACGTAGTGCAATTCCATGCTGCCTTTGAGGACGACGAGAGGGTGTACATTGTGATGGAGTTGTGTGAGGGAGGTGAGTTGTTGGACAGGATATTGTCGAAGAAGGACTCGCGGTACTCGGAAGCGGATGCGGCGAAGATCGTGAGACAGATGCTGAAAGTGGTGGCGTTGTGTCATCTGCGAGGCGTGGTACATCGGGATCTCAAGCCGGAGAACTTTTTATTCAAGTCCAAGAGTGAGGAGTCCTCGCTGAAGGCGACAGACTTCGGGCTGTCCGATTTCTTAAAGCCAGGGAAGAGGTTTACGGATGTGGTCGGGAGCGCGTACTACGTGGCGCCGGAGGTGTTGAAGCGGAAGTCGGGACCTGAATCGGATGTCTGGAGCATCGGGGTGATCACGTACATCCTCTTGTGCGGGAAGCGCCCATTTTGGGATCTGACGGAGGCGGGAATCTTCAACGAAGTTTTGAAGAAGAAACCGGATTTCCGAGGCCCCGCATGGGCCTTGATTAGTCCGAGTGCCAAGGACCTTGTGAAGCGATTGCTGAACAAGGACTACAGGGCGCGAGTGACGGCGGCGCAAGCGCTCTCTCATCCATGGGTGAGAGAGGGAGGAGACGCGTCCAACATCCCCTTGGACATCAGCGTTCTGTCAAATCTGCGAGAATTTGTCAAGTACAGTCGGCTGAAGCAGCTTGCCTTGAGGGCGCTGGCCACCACGCTCAAAGACGAGGAACTCATCGATCTCCGAGACCAGTTCAATGCCATCGACGTTGACGGGAACGGGACCATAACCCTGGAGGAGATGAAGACGGCGTTGGCAAAGGACAAGCCGCAAGCGTTGAAAGAGCCGAGGGTAGTGGAGATCTTAACGGCTATGGATTACAACGGAGATAGCCTGGTAGACTTCAACGAGTTCATTGTGGCGGCGCTGCGTGTGCACCAGCTAGAGGAGGCAGACAGCGACAAGTGGAAAGTCAGGTCGCAGCAAGCGTTCGAGGTCTACGATCTGGATCGGGATGGCTTCATCACGGCGGACGAATTACGGGTCGCGACGGGGATGAAGGGGTCCATCGAGACGATCCTGGAAGATGGGGATGTAGATGGGGATGGCAAGATTAGTCTGCCGGAGTTCCAGAAACTACTGCGGAGTGCGAGCATCGGACCGAAGAGAGGAGGAACGACGGCGGGGGCGGGGCAGGGGCACAATCACGGTCGACGTGGTCACGTATCGACAACGAGGGGAGTGGGAGGAGGAGGAGGAGGAGGAGGAGGAGGTGGGGGCCAGGTGGTTGCTGCTGTCGCTGCGCGGAGCCAAACAAAACAGACGGAGGCGGCGGTCGCCGTAACGGCGGGAGAAGGAGAGTCGTGATTGATTCTTCGTGGTTGATGAGATTCGTCATTTTCAAGGGAATCGTTAGGGAACGTAATTTGTGTGGAATTGTAAGGAGGGAATCGGTTGCGGAACTCGTTGATTAGAAAGCTGCCTGCTTGCTTGATTGCCCCCGCAATGTGATGGTGATGGTGATGATGATGATGATGATGACGATGATGATGCTCTTTCCATTCTGAGTTGTGTATATCTCTCGCTAGACGGCTGCTTATCGCTGGTCTTTCGTCTGTCTCTCGGGCTGTTATTGAAGTTGCCGAGCGGCTCGGGATCGGGACATGGCAGGCAGAGGGGGTGGGGGAGGGGG